TCCCTCCCCCGATGTGTCAACTGACGAATACTCATGTAACTCGAGTCAAAAACGAATCAGGTGAGTAATCTTTCTACGCTATTTGTCTGACGTAATTAGTCGTCCTCCAGAAATAATCAACAGGACTCAACTACCGTGAAGCCGTTTAGTCAGCTCAGTCAGGACGTCTTCTGTGGACGACAAGTCAAGATGCATACGGCGGCTTGGACAAAGGCAACACCCAACCCATTGGAATTTGCTCATTTGGCTCCGGGACTACCACCTGAAGGAAAAAGCTGGAGATTTCCGGTCTCAAACGCTTTCGATTTTTACTTCAACGTGCCCGTTATTGAAAATGACCAAAATTTTGCCCTCATACCCTTAAAAGATAAACCGTGGTTCCAAACATCGGCCATTCATGCTGGAACTGCTACAGGTTTGGAATCAGTCGAAAATTGCTGCAACCTTCAAGTAAGCAAACGTTAAATTTATTTGATAAAATAACTCCAATGTAGGTTATTAACCAACAATGGGCGTGGTCCATTCCAATGCAGGCTCAAAATACGTTTTCAAATAGGAGTATACAGAAAAACTCCTGGCTACCTACGCCAACTGGTAAGGAAAGGGGCCAACGTCGGAAGCAACTATCCGTCTGCGAAAACAATTCCGCCGACGTTGCTGGTCATCCACTGACCAAATCGCAGAGTCTAATTCCCATCCCTCAGAGCACAGTGAACCCGGATTCAACAAGGCCGCGCTCCCAACCGCAAACTGACTCAGCCAATCGCAGGAAACCGAGACTTGTACCCCTATCAAAGTCAGAGGCTGGACATCGGAGGCTGCCCCGTAAAGAGGACGCCATCTACAACGCTCGGTACAAGAGCCAACCCTGTGTGCACTACCAGAAATACAAACGGTGTCCGCTCGGTGAGGACTGCCATTTTGCTCACGGACCCGCGGAACTGCAACACCCTCAATGCCACCCTAAGTTCAGGACGCGTCCATGTAAGAACTTCCTCCTAACTGGCACCTGTCCCTTCGGATCAGGTTGCTATTTTCTGCATGACACAACTCTACCCTCAATTGAGCTGTCCTGCCTTCGTTTGCTGGATGACTGACAGTCGTGCTTATGGGGTGTGCGTGCGCGCATTTATATACCTCTATTATGTATATTTAGGCTTTAAAATTTAATATTTTATATCGACAACGTGGAAAAACAAATTGTCCACATGTCATTTTAACAGGGTTTTATCCCCAGTAATAAACTGTTCGTAAGTTTTTGCGTTGTTTTAACTATTCACCTGGACGTGCGAAATAATTTTAGTAAGGCCTTATGAGTACTCCTCAGTAGCACATCCGACCATGTAGTGAATATATTTGGGTCACGCAATATTAACTGATTTGTATTCTGGAGACACACGAAACAGTTTAATGTATGAATTGTATCTGGATTCATGATTTTTGTTTTGCTTGAATGACGTTCTTTTATACTGGGATTTTATTTATAATTTTGACGGGAGTAACGGCCGAACTAACCCGTGGTGGAAACTGTATAATCTAAGTATACCTGAAATTGCCATGTTTAAGACAAACTGTGGATAGTATAACCCTTACTGTGGACTTCAATGCCATTAAAACCGCCAATTTCTTCAGATACCGAGTGAAGTTTGTCATCTTCTCAAATCTTTCAGGAAGTTGTTTCCTTTAAAAACATAATCGTCGATATGACTGGTCAGAATGTTGTAACTCACCCCAAATGCACTGACAAATTTACCTGGGCGAACTAAAAATCCAAGCCGGTTAATACGAAGGTCTTCAAGCTTCAGGAAGTTGTGATATGCGAGGATCAAACTAAACTATTACAGTTAAAAAGAGCAAAATAAGTACGGTAGTTCGCTGCGTTGCTTCTACTTGCCTTCGCGTTGCTTGCCCAGCTCGCTTCAGTGTCTGTTGCCGGCTTGCTTCAGCGTTTGCTGCGGCTGTTGGAGCACGCGGTGCCCATCGTCACGGCTTGCTTAGTTTGCTGCGGCTTGTTGGAGCGTGTGGTGCCCATCGTCGAAATCGACGGGGATCTGTCAGGGCTTGGGGAGTTAAATCGTATATAAAAATCTTAAAGAATGCATGTAATCTGATGTTTCGTGACTGCTAGCATGCAAAAGTCAATAGACGGACCCATTTTGCACGTATAAAGATTTCGCTTCGTTCATAAAATGTGACAATCCGAGCTATATTACTATAGTGTACATGATATATTTTTTTAGCATGTCACTAAGTCTCCCAGGTAGTCTATTCATACAATTTCCATATTCGAAGCAGTTTCGTTAACTAGATATTTATCAATGATTAACAATGTAGTCAGCTCTAGTGTTACAGGAATGCAGTGAGGATTCGTACCGTTCACGTTGACTCAGCAAACAGAACCTGAATAAGGTGTATTTGACGCGTTATAGAACCCTTAATGATAAATCATTTCACCAGAACACATTATAGAAAGGTTATTCAGCAGACTGCGCTATGCAGCCAAATTACTGACGCCTCTCAAACGGACAGTATTTCGACTGCCGCAAGCAGAGGCGTCCACAAAGACGTTATGAATAGGCACAGTGGCAACGTGCGCGTGAATTTGTCTTCTTCGAGATGAGCTTTCGCTAGGTTCAATTTCTTCCCTATTTATACGCTCAAGACGAAAGCAAGTGGGGGCGATTACCAGTAAAATTTGACAGCCAGCCTATGCGTGCCACGCGGAATCCGGTCCCTTATTCCACGTTTGTCGGGTTTCATTGACGAGATATCTGCTCTCCGGCGAATGAAAGTAGCCTAAGGTGTCATGTTAAAAAAGTAAACATCACAGTCAGGCAATAGGTTCAAGGATGGATCTTATTGGCACGACAGAGGACGCATTTTGAGCCAGGGCCATAAACTGATCGTGATAATAGAGCCAAAGAGGCGAGTTCCGGAAAGCAGGACAAGCAGTGGCCTAGCA